GGCCTTAGTTTAAACCTACTCATGACGAGTGATTCCCTTGATTACCCCTATTGGGATATTATGGACTTGTATGAATATTAATAAGTAATTGTGCATGAAAATTAGCTAACCCAACTTTTATACTTACTTTTTAGTCAAATCTATATATTATATAAGGATAGTGTATGAGGTATTTTCACCTTTAATCAATTCCTATTTCATTGTTGTAAGGTTATGGATGATGAAATTCTGATACTGCTATTTAGATGAAATGTATTTAGATGTTTGTATCATTTTCTTTATACAAATTAAGAAAAATCCGTCAAATCCTCCATTTTCTCTTAATTTCGTCCATATGGAACCACCTCTTGATCACATCACTGTCCAATTCAAACTTTAATGCCCGTCAAACATATGTACGTGCTAAAAAAGCTTAAAAAAAACTTTAATGGAAGTCTCCGGTGTAAAAATTAGGATTTAGATTCCTTACGGTGCTTAAATATGGATGTACAGTGATGGAGTGAATTAAGGAGGAATAATTCTGTTATAAATAAAATAAAATATAATATTTTAATTTCATAACTTCACTTGATCACTGACAAATTGACTAAAGACACCGTGAAAGAATCCAAATTCTTAAAAACCGTGGTGGTGAAAGTCGGGCTGGCGGAATGGGCACCAGCGATGTGGATCCCACACTCCACGGGGTCTCATCCCGACTCATTCTAACTAGAGGTGAGAATCAAGACAGACCGAAACCTTAAAAGGACTTATGTCACAGGCTGAGAGTCTGGCGCAGCACACGGCACCCGTGCGGCGTCCTGAGGATCCCAACTCCCCGAGACAAGCCCTATCACATACGAATCTCACTGGTTTCGCCCTGCCATGGGCTCATCAGGGAGGCGGCACTAGCCCCCGACCAGTTGTGCACTCAGTCCGAAGACTGAGGCAAAACACCCTCAATGTCAATGTCGCCCCTTTTACTCATATTGTGCGAGGCTAACCAGCGGATCGTTCATTACATTGGTCTTTACACGGTCACGGAGATATCATCCGTGACATTCTCCCACACCCAATCTAGCACGCCCTCGTGCTAGGGGAGAAAGACTCTGCCCAAGGATCGTACGTACAGTACTGCCACAAACACATCAGCTTACTGCTGAATGGCCACCCGAGTCCTGTACTCTTCGGACCCACTCGCACCCGCCAGCCAACAGGAGTGGAGTTGACAACGGCCAACCTTCCCGCTCGAGTCCCTATTTTTGGACCCACCTACTCGGAGGCCTTTTTGAAGCGGTGCCAAGGTCGATCAGTCCCAACATGGGACCCCATAGGCACACGGCAGTAAAGTACGTCCTGCTCTGATACCATTCTGTCACGAGTTGAGAGTCTGGCGCAGCACACGGCGCCCGTGCGGTGTAACAGCCCTCCTGGGTCACCACTGCCTCTCCAGGGTCTTTTCCCAGGCGCTGGACAACACACATGTCACCACATGATTGCCGGCTTTCCCACTGGTGGTACAGTGGTTATTCCCCACCCCACCCTCACGGGGGTCTTTTGGAACCTCCCCAGACTCGAACCTCCAACCTCTACCACCTTAACAAAGTTGAGGCTAAGTCTGGTACCATTGAGTCAACTTGACTTAATGGTACCAGACTTAGCCTCAACTTTGTTAAGGTGGTAGAGGTTGGAGGTTCGAGTCTGGGGAGGTTCCAAAAGACCCCCGTGAGGGTGGGGTGGGGAATAACCACTGTACCACCAGTGGGAAAGCCGGCAATCATGTGGTGACATGTGTGTTGTCCAGCGCCTGGGAAAAGACCCTGGAGAGGCAGTGGTGACCCAGGAGGGCTGTTACATAAAAGGCGCCTTTTATGTAACAGTACGGAGCCACCCCTTGGGCCTCGACTCAGTACTGGACTCTGGCCCATTACTGGACCAAAGCCGACTTTCCCACAGGTGGTACTGTGGTTATTCCTCACCACTGCCTCTCCAGGGTCTTTTGGAACCTCCCCAGACTCGAACCTCCAACCTCTACCACCTTAACGAAGTTGAGGCGAAGTCTGGTACCATTGAGTCCTTGACTCAATGATACCAGACTTCGCCTCAACTTCGTTAAGGTGGTAGAGGTTGGAGGTTCGAGTCTGGAGAGGTTCCAAAAGACCCCCGTGAGGGTGGGGTGAGGAATAACCACTGTACCACCAGTGGGAAAGCCGGCAATCATGTGGTGACATGTGTGTTGTCCAGCGCCTGGAAAAAGACCCTGGAGAGGTAATGGTGACCCAGGAGGGCTGTTACATGCGGCGTCCCGAGGATCCCAAACTCCCCGAGACAAGCCCTACCACATACGAATCTCACTGGTTTCGCCCTACCATGGGCTCATCAGGGAGGCGACACTAGCCCCCGACCAGTTGTGCACTCAGTCCGAAGACTGAGGCAGAACACCCCTAATGCCAATGTCAATGTCGCCCCTTTTACCCATATTGTACGAGGCTAACCAGCAGATCGTTCATTACATTGGTCTTTACACAGTCACGGAGATATCATCCGTGACACTTAGCTCTAAAATTGATTACTTAAAATTTAACATAATTTTGAGATTCGATCTTTATTTATGGGATTCAAGATTGGGTAAAAAAAAAATTAGCATTTTAATTTAAATATAATATTTTAAAATTTAATATAAAATAAATTAAAATATCACATAAAATTCAACAAAAATTTAAAATTTTAAATTTAAGATAAAAATTTAATATCTTTAACAATGTAAATTTAAATTCTTCTCATCATCATCTAAAATAAAATATTAGATCCCTTAAATATAAGTTCATTTATTAAAGATGAAGGTGAAGATTTAATATTAATTATTTCTGCAACTTCTTCTTCATCACCTATAATAAATATTAATCAAATTGTGTTATTATTAATCAAATATGTGTGTGTGTGTGTGTGTGTAATAACACAGCTTATGAAGATTTAAATGGCTGTCTGAATCCAAGCTCTTTTTTATAAAATTTATTAAGGATAGGCTCTCAAATCTGACTACTATAAAAAAACTAATTTTTAAAATATAAACTTTTATTTAAATAGATTTTTTAAGTTCGATCTTTATTTTTGATTTTAATTCTAGCCAACACCCTCACCACATCAGCATCACCTCTTTCGGACCCACGACCCTACCGAATCACAGCTCCGGGGATCACGTCCCTGCCCCACGTACTCCGTTGCCCTTCAGGCCTTCCCAGCTCTGTCTAATTATTATTATTATTATTATATAATGACCCAAAAGAATCTGATAAATTTATCTAACCAAATTATATATACAATCCTTTCACCCGAAATTATAAAATAATTTAAAATAAAATTACATATATTAATAAAACTCAATAATAACACCCTTCAAATTTATTTTTTTAAGATAAAAATATAAATTTTTAAAAATATTTTTTATTTAATATAATTTTAAATCTATAATCATTTTAATTCTCCTTTTCTTTAAAAGATAATATTAAAAAATATTATTAATAAAAAATATTTTTATCAAATTAATTAATTCTTTCAATATTATTTTATAATTTTGGATAGAGGAAGTATTAAATGAAAGATCATGAGTTCCTATATCAATTCTGTTTATTTGTTTTTGTTCTTGTTATGAAGAAAAATAGTGACGATATTCACCAAAAAAGAAAAAGAAAGATAATTGATGAAGTTACAGCTCATCCGATGTCGCTCAATGGAAACGCAAGATTGTGATTTGCTCACCGGGTTCTTTTGCCTTCCCATAAAAATGCATAAAATCTACATGGAATGAGTTATTTGAAAGGTTTGATTATTCATTATTGTTAGTTCGCATAGCTGTGTTGGTTGTGCGCGCATCAAACCTCTGCCTTCCATGACTCTCAAGCTCTACCTAACATACCGTATTTTCTCGGTTATAGAATAAATTCTAATTTTCACATTCATTTTTCCCCCCTTAAATATACTTCCGCCCATTTTGAAGATAGAAGAATTTCAACTGACTCACCCAGTTTTAAAAAATAGTTAGTCTTAATAATTATGTCTGAAATTAAAATATTTGGACTATAAAATATTATTGTAATTAATATCTACCTTTTCCCCCTAATTTAATTATAATATCCATTCATGACAGACAATGCTTTTTGAAATTTATAGTCTTATTTATAATTAAAAAATAAAGAAACATAGGATAATTTTTCTTACACTTGAAAACGGAGGCAGCAAGTCATGCTATAAATTTTCAAGATAATTAATACTTGTTTCCAAGCTGTTGGGGTTTAAAATATTATGATATTAAATAGAGAATAAAAATAAAAACTTAATTTTCACATGATATATACATATATTTTAGGATTTCATTTAATTTTTATGTTTTTAATATTAGAATTTATATTTAAAAACAGAGGAACTACTATGCCAACTTTACTGCGTCGTGTAAGAAAAAATATAGGATGTAAGAAATTAAAGCCCTCTATCTATTATGCTGGAAATTTTGATTGCATTCTAAAGTTAACAGACTGCCTATGATATTTATTTTATTTGAAATATCATTTTTTGTATATCTGGCATATATTATAAATTAAATATTAATTTTTTTCATTAAAATTATATTTACACAAATATAGTTAAACTTTTTAATCGTGTTTAACTCACTCTTTGTGATAGCCAAGACAGTGAAACAATACATGCTGGCGCTGACCAAATTGGATGCTAATCTTCGAGAAATTTTAAAACTAAGTTACGGGAAGGAGCATCTAATAAAGTAATGAAACAAAAGATTTAAAAAAAATGTAAAGAAGAGAAATAATTTAAAAGAATGATATTAAAATTTTATAAAAAAAAATTAATTATTATAAAATTTATTAATAATTAAATTAAACTGAATTGATAACATAATATAATAATTATTAGAGGGAAAGAGCACTTTAACTGGGCCAACAAATCCCTCTCTCTATTTAAGCCCTGACTTTCTCTTCATTCCTTCCACCTCCAATCCTCTGCTCTGCTTCAAACACTCAATCAATCTTTCTCAGATCCTTCGGTAACCCAGAATTCCATTACAGCTGATTCATGGAGAACCTGTTTCGCTTGGTTGATCATGAAGACTTGTTCTCTCGGCGCTGCATTTGGGTGAACGGCCCTGTCATCGTGGGAGCAGGCCCCTCCGGCCTTGCCACGGCGGCTTGTCTCAGAGAACAAGGCGTTCCTTTCATGGTTCTCGAGAGAGCCGATTGCATAGCTTCTCTCTGGCAGAACCGAACCTACGACAGGCTCAAGCTTCACCTTCCCAAGCAATTCTGTCAGCTCCCCAGAGTTCCTTTTCCAGACGACTTCCCCGAGTACCCCACAAAGCGACAATTCATCGACTACCTCGAATCATACGCCAAGCGTTTCCAGATCAATCCGCGATTCAACGAGTGCGTTCAATCCGCCAGGTACGACGAGACCTGCTGCTTGTGGAGGGTCAAGACTGTTTCCACGGTTGGCTCCTGTAGAACTGAAATGGAGTACATTTGTCGATCGCTTGTGGTGGCCACCGGCGAGAATGCCGAGTGTGTCATGCCTGATATCGAGGGGCTGGGCGAATTCAAAGGAGAAGTCGTTCACGCGTGTGATTACAAGTCAGGAGAAAGTTTCAGGGGAAAGAAAGTGCTCGTCGTGGGCTGTGGCAATTCTGGCATGGAGCTCTCTCTTGACCTCTGCAACCATAATGCATCACCTTCAATGGTTGTTCGTAGCTCTGTAAGTATCAAATGTCATACAGAGCTCAAGTGAGTGAATCCTCCCTGTTTCACCGGAATAATTGAAACTGACCGGGTTTGCTCTGTTTTTGGCATACAGGTTCATGTATTACCCAGAGAGATTTTCGGGAAATCAACGTTCGAATTGGCCGTTATGATGTTGAAATGGCTACCTCTATGGCTAGTGGACAAGCTCCTACTGGTTCTTGCATGGTTGTTGCTCGGGAACGTTGAGAAATATGGGCTAAAACGGCCATCGACGGGCCCACTGGAGCTGAAAAACACGAAGGGGAAGACCCCTGTTCTGGATATTGGAACATTGGAGAAGATTAGATCCGGAGACATAAAAGTTGTACCAGGGATCAAGAGGCTTAGCAACCACCAAGTTGAGCTAGTCAATGGTGAAAAACTTGATGTTGATGCCGTTGTACTAGCCACTGGATATCGCAGCAATGTCCCTTCATGGCTTCAGGTGAGGGAAAAAAAAGTTCTATTTCGACATCCTCTGTTTTGAACTTTTCCCAAAACTCCTTTTTTTTTAAAAAAAAAAGGGCAACCTTTGACAGTTTTATATTAGTAAAAACAGAGAACTGTCCGTTCTGAACTGAACTGAACTGAAAGTATTTGTCCTTTTTGGGTATGGATGAGTGAAGTGAACTAATATGACATTGTTGCGATATGAACAGGAAGGTGAATTTTTCTCAAAGAATGGGTTCCCAAAGAGGCCATTCCCACATGGATGGAAAGGAAGTGCAGGGCTGTATGCAGTTGGGTTCACAAGGAGAGGGCTATCTGGTGCTTCATCTGATGCTACGAAAATTGCTCATGACATAGGCCAAGTTTGGAAGCAAGAGACTAGGCAAAAGAAGCACCGACCTACTGCTGGCCATAGACGATGCATTTCCCAGTTCTGATCTCATAAAACATCCCTTATCGACTCTCTGTAAAAACACACAAAAAGACAATAATAGATATCACAGAAACAGAGCCCTCTCCTCTGGCCCAAGTTTTGATGTGTTTTTGGGCATTTTCCAGGTTTCAGGATGACGAGGCTTTTTATTTGTATTCTTTGGTTTTGTTTTATTTTTGAGATGTATACAGCCTCTGTATCATACTTCTGTAATCAAGTTAAATGACAAAAGTTTCAAGTTCATTTCCAAATTCCAATCTCTCTTTCTCTCTCTGCGGCTTTCCTTTTGTTTGAAGCTTCAGAGGTAGTTTGTCATTGTAAATTTTCCATCTTTAGGCAAAGAAGCTTCTGTCTTCTAACCTATAGAATCAGCCAGCCCAACATCTTAAGTATGCTGATCAGTACCAGAACTTGGTGCAGAGAAAGGAAAGTGATGTTTTAACTTATAACTAATTGCTTTCTATTTTGAGGCTCTGTCTTAGATTGTCAAGTCCTTTTCTTCCTTTAATTTCCCACTTGCTTCCAACGTTTGAATTTTTTTTTTTTTGCAAACCAGACTCCCTTGGCATGTTTAGTGGTGCAAACCAAAAAAAATAAAAATAAAAAAACAACTGATGCTAATTTCTTCTATATGGGTATCGCACTCTGGATCGTTTATGTTATTCTGATTTCACAATAGTAAATACTTATTGACAAACAAGCTAAGTGTCAGATTCAAAACATTTAAGTGAGATGCAATTTGATAATTGATATTTTCTGGGATTAGTAAATTTGAATTTTAGATTTAAAATCTTATATTTTAAATCTTAAAATTAAAATTCATGTATTTCAAATTCATACACATATAATTAAATTCCTATCTGCAAATTTTTAAGAGCCTGAACAAGGAATTTGACCAAAACTCAAATCCATATGTATCCAAATATAATATTAGTGGTTTATATTTTTTTTAATTATTGATTTGATCTCTCAAATTTAATTTTATTAATCTACTCATTATTTTTCTTAAAAAAATTATGTAATAGTTTTCAAGGTTTTGAAACAAAAACTAGCTTTCAAATTAATTTAACATGTAAACGAAATTAATAAGGATTTGAAATGAGAATAACTTAGCTTTTCACATACCATTTAATTTTTTTATTTTCCTTATTTCCCCTTACTCGATGACCCATAACTTAGCTTTTCACATACCCTTATTCGATTGGAATAGTATGATGTTTCGGACTTGAATATCGTGAAAATGATTGAGAAAGTTATATGGTGCAATTGCCCGCAACTCAAGTGCTTGGGATTAGATAACTCGCCCACAAGCCTCTAACATCAGATGGGTAGGACCCATAAAAGAGAATGCAGCTCAACTCCATCATACCCAGTTTCTGATCTCTCTCTCTCTCTCTCTCTCTCTCTTGAAGAGGCCAATTCTAAGATGGCTTCGAAAAAGATATTTATTCCTTGTATGAAACGGGTATCTTTGGCTTTGACCCACCAAAAAATGAAAACTAAAAGAAAATATAGTAAGGTCCCAAAGACCCACTGTCGCTCTGCACATGCCTAAAGCTAAAGTCAAATCATTTCTGTAAAGCATTATTCCTAACCTTAACATAGTTCATGCAACTTAAAAGGCTGCTAATCATTATCGCAGCATGGTTCCATGCCTGTTTGAGAAATACAAATATAGCTAGTTTACAATTCAATGATTGAGTATTCTGTACTTTCAACTTAAATATCCGTGGGATGATTCCAATTTTCACTTATATGTATCAGAGAAGATTAGCTGTTTTCATCACCAAACAAAATAATCTGTAATATTTGAAAAAGAAAAGGAAGGGAAAGAAAAAGCTGGGTTGGATGGTGAATGATAGGTCATGAAGGCGTATAGCTATGGTAAATGAACTGCATTTCACCGGTTCTGAACAGATTAAATAGTTGAGTAATTGTCAAAGGCTAAAAATCAAATTCTAGAATGAACAGTGAAAAATTAAGAAAGGGCAGCAAATAATGAATAGACCCAATGCAATGCACGTCATGTATTATTTAAGCCCCTAAGAAAACTATCAAAGACCTAGAGAGTTCTAGGATTATACTAAGACAAAGAGGCTAGGAATAATATGGCCCTAACTCTGAATCCGCTTCCTGGGATTCTCAATTTGTACTCCAATATTCAATGATAATGTCCTTAGTCTTCTCACATGAACAAACTAAGAGTTAGACTAAAATGTTACAAGATTAACTAAAACTCTTCAAAGCCAAACTGGTCAGGAACTCACAATCAGCTTTTTTTTTTTTTTTTAATTCCTCCGCCGAACTTAGCCAAAATTGAGAACTTAATTTGAAACAAATTGGGCTGGCCACCATGGCTGACCTAATTTCGTAGCAGCTAATTAATTAGCACGTGTTCAATGATGAAAATTGGACCCTTTTTTTTCAAAAAGAAAAAAATACAAAATCATTATTTTTGTCCTAAAGAGATTATCATCATATGCACCAAATTGAGGAGAAACAAGGATATTATATTTAAGGTATCACTTAAGTCTTAAAACAATTTTGTCCAATAGGCTTTTTTACCATTTTTCAGTCACATTAACCGATATAAATGAAGGCTTTCTCAGGACTAAAATTAAATAATTTATTTTTTATAATTTAAATATATATGCAGAGGCATTTGTCCCCACAAACACTTTTTTAGCGTGGTAATGCTAGCCCTTGTCCACATTCTTAAGAAGGAGATTGAAACAGCCCATATGAGGTGCCCATACTGAGTGATTCAAAAGTTCATTAAAAAAAAAAAAAAGTGTTTTTGAACAGCCTCAAGTCAGTGAGAAAATTATTACAGTTTTCATCAAGCCTGACTAGCAATTAACACTGCTTCAATTTGTCATCTTGTTCCTCTCACCCAGCAAATAGATGCTTTATCATCTCATGATCCTCTTGAATTGGAGACATTATTAGTGACTGTTAAATCAAAATAGACACTACATGGGATGGCTACTGTGTGTGTGTGTGTATATATATTGTGCTTTTGTTCACCACCAAAAGGGCCCTATCCATTATTCTGGTGCTTCCTCAAACTGTGTACGCACTGCCTAGTTCTGCATGTTATTCTGAACTGGGTTTCTTTCTTCACATGGTGATGTCGACGATGGACTCCAAGTGGTGGACTTAGCTACCCCCAGAATCAACAAGAAGAACATAGTTTTATGGGTAAGGATATAGCAGTTTAATTTCTTCAGCAAAAAGTGTGTAAGAGATGATGTATGCCCAACGTCACAAGTACACAATATAATGCTGCATTATTTTTAGTCTTTTAGATCAGCTGCTGATCGATCATCAGTACCTATTGAGTGCTTTTACATTTAGAAAGTACTGTTTATCACTATCAGTTTTGGTGGTGGGTGGATAGTGACATTATTAGGTCCAACATGGCAATGCCTGCGATGCAAATAACTCCACAACAAAAACATCAAAATAAGTCCATTGAAATAATCCATTATTCCCATATATCACTTGAAGTTGTTGATCTGATTATGGCCAAATTTGTATAGCTTTTATGAATGATTTGATCAACAAAAGTTCAAGTAAGTTGAGTTTTGGGACTCATTAGGATCAAATCACACCTTATGACTCAAAAAGCTCACGAAGGTAAAGTATTTACCAGTGATTGCTCATTAACAAAATTTTTACATTAGCAGTGAAATTTCTTATAAGATATGAGTTAACTTGTTCACTAGCTATTGTAATTCTTGTATCTCTTTAACTATATAGAAATAATTTGATTGGTTTCTCGCAAAAAATGACAGCTATAGCAATCAGAATTCAGAAGCCTGACTTTCAGAATGTTGAAGGTGAAGAAATTAATTCGTAAATTCAGGCAGGATGTTGAAGCAATTTTATAATAACATGAACAGAGAGACTTGAGTGAGTGTGTAAGAGAGAGGAAAGCAAAGAGGCTTATATTAGTATGAGAAGAGAGTGAAAACAACAAAGATATATAGGAGCTCGTAATAAGCATGCATGCATGTTGGGGAGACACAAGGAGTGCTGGTGGTCACTGGTCAGCCCATCCTTTTGTTGTTATACGCTGATGTATATGTATGTATGCCCTTTTGAATCTAATCTCAAAAGAGATCACAAAGTGCGTGCTAGCTTCTTACATTATTGCCGAGTAAATCCAAAACCAGCCAGCTATATAATGTATGAGTGGTGATCGAAATAGATTCCTTGCCTCCTGAGTTCATCGTCTTCGTTAGCAATATATATCCTCACATGAAAAACCGTGCCATTAATTCCCACATGTTGATTACTGATTGATGATATCTAACACCACTTTACTTGTTGAGTTGACTGAGGTCAACATGTTAGCCAATTCCAATGCACACGCACCAACAAACCAGAGTTGATAACATTATATCAATGCATGTATGAATCCAGAAACGAATACATGAGGGCAAACATGAAAACTACTTAGAATATGGGAGATCAACACTAATTTTTACATTTTTTACAAGCAAAAAAAAAAAAGACTCAAATTTTTTCAAAGGACCAATCAAATTGTGGAGGCCAAGCACCAACATGCGTCCCTCATTATATCTGTACCATTCATAAGACTAAGTCCCTGGTCATATGTGTCAACATCCACAGTATACTTGTTTCCCAAGTCATTTTTATAATAAATATTTTATAATAAGCCTCATCAGATTGTAACGCCTCGCATCAATTACAACTCATTTTTAAAATTTATTTCTCCTCTGGCTATCTATTTTACTACATCACCGGTTGAATCACGTGATCTATGTTTTTAAAATTTAAAAATTTTAAACAATGCACAATAATCAAAATTAAAATTTAAAAATGAAAGATGGGTTGCTGGTATATATTTACTCTTTTTTTTAATACAATGTATGTATTTAGGGAACATGAAAAAAGAACCCCCCTTAAAATGTGCAAATGACAATGAGATTTTACAAAATGTCATAATTCTTCTCAAATCCTTATAAACTTTTCTAATATTAATTATTTTTAATGAAATGAATAAAATATTTCAAGTTTAAAACAAACAAAAAGTAAGAGCTTTGGTCTCAAAAAAGTAAATATCATCAATTATTTTAGTTTAAGCAATGATTACTTTTTTTTGTAATGACTGGAACATAATAATCAATTACAATTTTTTCTATACAAATTTTTGATTTATTGAAATCTAAGTTTTGTAAATACGCGTGAATGCTTTAGTATAAGTAATGACTATTTTTATTTTGACAATAACTAAAACAAAATAAGTAATTACAACTTTATTTATGTAAATTTTTTATTCACTAGAATAGAAAAAATAATTATGCATATTTTTTATTCACTAAAGTCTAAGTATTGTAAATATTTATAATTACTTTAGTTTAAATAATGGTTATTTTTCTCATACCAATGACTAAAGCAAAACAAAAAATTATTACGTTAGTTTAAATAGAAAGTATCTTAATCATTTCACAAAAACTTATTAATGTTAGAAAGATTTCTCGAGATTTAAAAATAATTATAGCATTTTGTGAAACCTTACTATCATTTACATATTTCAACGTCTATTGTCTTCCCATGTATGTCCCGTTGAGTCACCCAAATTCGGGGGAGTAGTCCAGAACATGGGCTTCACTCCCATTGAAGTCATCAAATGTATCTTGGGCTCATTATAATTTCGTCTTTTTTTTTTGTCAGCATTACAAATAAGTTTAGATTTGTAAATTAGAAGCTGACAGGCCCAGCTTCCAGTTCACCTATCTTGGGCCTCCCCTCTCTCGACGTCTTATTGTTTTATACATACAAAAAATTAAATAATGTATTTTATTTCAAAATTTATCACAAAAATATAAACAACAGCATATTTTAATTTAAATATTTTACTTTAAATTTTTTATACATATACATATTGAAAATATAAATGATACCTTATTTTATTGCATAATCTCTGACCTACTGCAATTTAAAATCTATAATTACGAATAAGATCAAAATTATTTTATAAGTTGTTATCATATACATATTAAAAATTTAAATAACAAGCATTCTAGAATCTACTACTTTATACACAGTATATATTTATAAGCTACTTCAAAAACTAGTGGCTAATTTTAAAATTATATAAATTAAAAATATTTTCTATTAAAATATAACATGGAAAGTAATTTAAAAAATATGACATAAAATTAATTAATTTTTTTATGTGACTGACAAAAAATGTTGCCTTCAGCAACTGCAGGCAAATTTATTTAAAAAAAAAACATAAGGTTATAAAATTGAAAAGGATGAGGATTATTATTATCAAGTTTTGAAGGATAAACAATAAAAATACACAAGGATAACAAAGAATGAAAAGAAAGGATCTATTCCGGCTAGATCCACTTATGCAACTACTTTGCGAAGTGAAAAGGGTGATAGTGATCTTCGAATGAACTAGAACTAACTACAAGGCCATATTCATGCAAAACACGTCACCAATAGCTTCACAGGATAGCCCTCAAGGCATTTTTTTTTAAAAAAATAAAAATCACCTAGCTTTGGAGTTTAAAGTGAGAAAACCGCGTCGCTACGGCCTGGCGGGTTACGAGGTTACAAGTAGTAATTACTAGGAATTAAAGAATTGAGGTAAAGCTGTGGCCTTTGGTGAGTTTGGTCGTTAGATGAGCGGGGGTGCGAGGCAGCAGAAACTAATACCCCCAGCTTACAGGAGATTTGATTGGTCAATCCCACAAATCTGTGGAAACAACACTCGATCCAAGCCGACGAAAATGGCATTGCCAATTGCTGGTCTCAACACTCTATCCGCTGTTTCTTTCAACTCTACTCGCCGGCTGTCTATATCCAAGTTCTTCGTTTGCTCTGTTCCCATCAAAGAGGGGCACATCCTTAAAACCTCTTCCAGTATTAATCTCAGCAACAATGGCTCGGGAAGATACAGGGCTGTGTCAGTTCATGCCATGGCTTCCTCTTTTGGGTCTCGACTTGAAGAGAGCATCAAGAAGACTATTGATGAGAACCCGGTTGTAGTTTATTCCAAAACTTGGTGCTCGTGAGTCCCAACTCTTTTTAATCTCACTTATCTTTTGTTTTTTTGTTTTTAATTTGGTGTTACTTTTGAGCATTTGGAATCACTTGAGAAATCTGGATTCATTCATGCTAAAATTTGTGTGAAGGTATTCTTTGGAGGTGAAATCGCTGTTTAAAAAGCTCGGCGTGCAGCCATTGATCATTGAATTGGACGAAATGGGTAATTTTTTCATCCCTTCCTGATCGATTATGAATCATCTGTGTATAGTCGTGAAGCTTCTCAGATTAGTTTTTGCAGTCAGTTTTGTATGGGTATGGCCTTGCGCATGGTAGCGTCTTATTACTTCCACAGATTATTAATCTTATTATTAAAAAGAACAGTAAGAATATAGATACGATGTAGCATTTATTTGACGATAGTCGCAGTCACAATGAACGAGATCGAACATGAGCGAGAAGTGTCTGAAGTGTGCATTGTTACAGTGTGTTGCAGCAATAAAATTTTGTTGCTCCTTTATGATCTGAATGTCTTCAACATTTCTGGCCATGCTTTACTGGTTGCCAGACGATGAACCAGCCTATTTGAGTTCTTTCCTGCATGTGAGGTTCTTAAGAAAATGGACAACAGATTCCTTTTTCATCCTTATCGATTGCATGTTAGACCTTTAGGCCTCCTTGCATGCCCCACGTTCTTCATAGCCAAAATGTCCTTGCATTTGTGGGTACTATCAAGGTGTTTGAGATTTTGTAAACGTTGTAATTTGCGGCAGTCTCTCACACACAGAAACAACAACTTTTTAATAATAATTAGCTGTTTATTTACCAGTGATTTAGATATTAAGATTTGATGTTAATTAAATAATGATGATGGACTCAGCATGTCAGAGCCCTGAACAGGTTAGAGGAGGCTTCAAAATTCGATATAAATTATATGATCAATACACAATAGTATTTTGATTCCATTCATGAATGGCCAACTAAAACCAGGTTTCTCTTGACACCAGGGAAGAGAAACTATTTTGAACGCTATTTGCAATGACAAAAATATTGCAGCAACTCTGAACCGTTTTCCCCCTCTACTGTCCTTTTTTTGTGCCTTTATCAGTTATTTCTTTAGAAGAGTGTATTTTAAGTGAACTCTTTTTCAATCTCCTGCATGCATAGTGCCTGCCATACATGTTCGACTGCCAATAAAAATGTTCTTATTCATTATTGTCTCCTCACTCTACCATGTGTTCCTTGACAACAGAACATAAGGGGGAAATCATTACATCTGACATGCTTTTATAGGCATCAGTTTTTATTGTGTGCTTCATGGCATTTGTTCTATAACTTGTTCTTTTTGTCTTTGTATTTTGAATATATCTAGGTCCACAAGGGCCACAGTTGCAAAAGGTATTGGAGAGGCTTACAGGTCAACACACCGTGCCAAATGTTTTTATTGGTGCGTACCTTTTTCATTATATAATTATTCTTTAATGATATGCATAGGCACCAGTGAGAAGAGTGGAACATATAACTTTGAGTCCGATTAAGAGAGGTAGAGGAAGGCCTAAGAGAACACTCTTGGAAGTTGTTGAACGTGATCTCTTAATTAATAATATTTCTAAATGCTTAATAAATGATAGAGCACAATGGCGTCTTGCAATCCATGTAGCCGACCCCACCTAGTGGGATAAAGGCTTGTTGTTGTTGTTGTTGATATGCATAGGCAATAAATACAACTCTCATATCAGTTGGAGATTTATTCGCATTACGATATCTGCCGTTTCTTTTGTAGCTGCCTGGCTGGGATGCTGACAAAACATTTCTGTTGATAATCCCTACACTTTAGAGTTTCGATTCCTTTTGAAGGACTTTTGTTTTGGGGGCATACTGGAACCTTGTTGAAGATGGAAAATATTTGGATTTAGCCTGTGTCATTGGCTGCAAGATGCCTGTTTTTTAGTTTTTTTTTTTTTTTGGGTGTGGTGTCATATGCCTTTGCCACATTGCAAAATATTTGATTAGTGGCTAGAATTTGATAAGAAACAAAGCTTTAGTCATGGATACGTTGATAACTGATTAATTGTTCTCTCCTGCTCCTGCCTCAGACTGTTAATTCTGATTTTGATCCAGGGAGGCAGGGAGTGATACTAAAGATTCTGATATAAGATTATATGAGTATCTGCTTTTTGATGTCCCCCAGTCTCAGTTCCCAGTTTTATTTATAAATTATGACATGGGTCTGGGTTGTCAAGAATTATTGGTCAAAAAAGGCGGGGAAAGGTTATAAAAATTTTGTTAGATATTGCCAAACCTCCTGCAAACTTCCCTGTTCCTGTATTCTGAGTCTGGCAAATTTGTGTTGGTTTAAAGGATGGGCATGGCTTGTTAAATCATATATGCATCCAGGTCATAAAAAAAAATGCTTCTAATTTAAGGACAACAAACTTGGCTTGTGTGTGTGTTATTAAATTACTTGTGAAACTAAGAGCCTGTATTTTTACCCAAAAAACTTGGGACTCTGTGATGCACGCCGAAAGAAGAAAAGAGAAAAAGGATATTCGCTCAGCTGAGGAACGAATACTTAAGTCAGATAAATCAGAGTGCCATCAGGAAGCTTAGCACAGAAATAGTGAATAGTGAAATCGTATTTCCAGCCTGAATGAGCACAGTGATATATGGCTTATCCAGGTGAACTAGCCAGCCATACAATGACACGTGTCCCTAGAGAATCTCACACAAAAATTCACATACAGCAATTTACATGCCTTTACAAATATCTACAGGGGTAATGTAAAGAGATAAATAACATTCTGCCCTTGATAAATAAACCTTACTGTCGTGACAAAAGTAAGAATTATAGACTAGACTAATTCCTTATGTGCCTTGAATAAGTTATTGAATGCTTAAAATTAAAGTATCACCCTCCATGATTTCTCGAGCAAGCAAGAGTAGGTTACATAGCAAATCTACTTTTGATGTTTTCATTTGGATAGAATTGATATTACTTAAAAGAATTCTCTTCTCCATTACAGGTGGCAAACACATTGGCGGCTGTACAGGTATATTTTTCTTTTGCCATTGTCTTTTGTATAAGCAGTATTATTTTAGAGAATATATCTGAAGTTCAAAACATCAGTATGTTTCCCTTCTCTAGTGATTTGGGAAAGTTTTTATCATTTTTAGTTTCCAACATAACAACACTTTGCTTTCTATGCAGATACAGTAAAGTTGTACCGGAAAGGAGAACTTGAACCTTTGCTATCAGAAGCTAATGCTAAGACTACAGAGACCTAGGCTCTTGCACAAAATCGGACCTGATACCATTACTAATCTCTTTCTTGTTGGCCAATTCGGTACCCTCTCAATGTCTGTCACTCACTCTGGTTGAAACTTGAAAGTCATTTATGAACACTGATAGTTTATACTCCACACATAAAGGTTTTGCAGCTAAGGGGTTGTATGCAATAGAAGACTTATAACTGAATAAATATGTATTCCTCCTCTTTAGCTCGGCATTGTTTATTCTCTGCCTTTATCTTCTATTCCTGATTTGATGCTTGTTAACGTGTTGTTTTCTTATTCAGCTTGTCTTCGTTATGAAATTAACACTGTCTAGTATAAAAGGAGGAAAATATAAAAATTGTTACCAGATAATTCTGAACTTTGATTCCTCTAAAGGCATAAAATTGGTGCACGTATAATTAGTTTTCTTGGTCATGTTATATATAGCTAAAAGATGGTTTATGGTCATTGACAAAATGATAATCTACTGCTTCTTTTATTACAAATGACCACACACAGACAGAATCACGGACATAAAGTGTTCCCTGGCTTGTAAAAGAGAAAGAACCAATGCGTGTACATCATAAGACATTCAATGTAAGTTGTATGATACACAAAATGTATCTGTTACTCATGGTTTTTTGGACGCAAGAATAATTTCTCTCTTTTGCTTGTAATAAGAAAGCAATTCATCATGGTTTGGAAGGTTTGGTTTGATTGCCGGGTTCCCTCTGAAGTTTTGAATCCATGGAAGCAGTCGAGGGAAATCACTGGCATTCATCACTTTAACACCAACAGCTCCTTCAATTTCTGCAAAAGACAGAGCTATCCATCCCATGACTATATCTAGTAATCCAATCTCATTCCCAGCAAAATATTTCCTCTCCCCGAGGGCTTGTTCCTCTAATGTCTTCAACACTTCTTTGGCTTCTTTTGTTGCCTTCTCATGCTCTTCTCCTTGAGCCACATAGAATGACAGGAATGCAATGCCCTGCAATCACAAAACATTTCTTCATTGATGACACAAATTAAGAGAAAGAGATAAGTATGAGAGTTTGAGGTTTCATTTTACCTCTATGGATTATAGAACTTACCTTATCTTCTGCAAACTTGATCCAGAATCTAGCCATGGCCCTTTCATAAGGGTCCTGCGGAAGCAGGGGTGGTTGAGGCCATGTTTCCTCTATATACTCCAAAATAACAACAGATTCTGAGACTGGCTTGCCCTTGTGAACGAGAACTGGAACCTTCTTATGAACTGGATTATACTTCAACAGCAAATCACTTTTGTTAGTTAAATCCTCTTCCACATATTCATACTTCATGCCCTTCAATTTTAGGGCCCATTTGATCCTGTAAACATAAGGACTAGGCCAAGTTCCGAACAGCTTCACTTCATCATCCATCTAGCTGTGCTTTCTCGTCCTATATTCAGCTTTGAGACTTCGAGAATTCTTATATACAGTTTCAGTGCTGGAAAAGTTCAAAATGAAGGCTGAAGATATTTTTGGTCTTCTTATCATGTCCTTCAAAGCTGGCAACTAAGACGCTTTGTATCTTTTTTGACTTAGAAGCATATCGAAGTTCCTTTCTTAGAAATATGCCAAAAAATTAGACGACCTGGCAAAGATGGGAGGAAATAGCCAGGAAAGTGTGTGATAAAAAGGTGGGCCTTGCCACAGGCAGTGAGATAATTATAATTTTGAATTTCGTAAATGGTATCAGAGTCAAGAGTATAGAGAGAAAGCGTAAGAGAGATGCCGGAGAATATCTGAATGAATTGAATTATCTATTGAGTATACTGTACATGAGTGTTTATAGTACAATCACTTAGACCAAATCATGGTTAACTAACCAGGTTGGTTATAACAAATACATAGTTAAGATATAATTATCTCTAACAGTAATTATATTAACATTTAATAGGAAGTCCGTTCTAAGATTTTATTTAGAAAAATATAAAATTTGAATCTTTACAAATAATAGGGATAAAAGAACAAATAATACCTAAACTGAAAAAACGAAATAAAACTTAAATATGGGGCAAGAATAAAATGTAAAAGGTAGGAAAGATTTGCCAAAAATAAACGGTGACCAGAGAGATGGATGAAATTGTTACATATGGAAGTTTAGGCAGAGGCTTGTCAAACTAGACTGTTCGTTAGTTTCATGAACGACACAGCAGAAACTACTCCTATGTACCCTAAAGTTTATTATTCCTTGTTCTTGCCAATGGCGTTCGCACGCCTGAGTAGACAAAATCTTCAACATGTTTTCTTGAACAACCTAGAAATTTTGAGATGATTGTTCAATGTCCATCCCAGCTATAGCGTAATTCATCACGGTTCTGAGACAAATCCGTGAGGTAAATCCCTTGATCTTTAGCGACCCAGATGCAGTTCTTCCATTGACACTTGTCGAAGAGACGCTCATTGTACCAGAAAACCTCAAACTCAGCGGAACCACCTGCTTCTCTTTTAAGGTAGCACCAGAATAAGATGGAGTGGAAGAAGTCCGTCCTAAAACTCCAGGTCAGATTGGACCCTGCAAACAGAGTGCGGGCCCCCAGATCATTGTCCTGGGATTTGCACCTGGCGAGCAAGTTCTGCTCGTTACTCAGACCATTCACTACGTACACGTGCCACTTTCTGAACTCTGGAAATATGTGGTCTTTCACTGCGAAAGAATTTGAACGATCACTTGCCATGGCTATGCCTAGTGCCCACACCATTGTGACTGCCATTAGATTGATGATAGCAGCCTGTGGATTCACTCTTATCTTCGCCATCTTTGCGAATGAATCTTGCCTCCAAGAATTTGGTTGATACGTATGCACGTGCTATAACATGTATATATGTATGTATGGTTGAATCGTGTTTTCGCCGTGAGATGTTGGAATTGATGAAGTTGCGGATGATGGGTGCATGATTTTCAAGGGGATATGGATATCGGAAAATGAAGCGTTTTATTTAATGTTGGGCCAAGGGATGGTCAGTACGTGCTCGGTAATGAAACCGGGTAATTACTTGACATTAATTAGTGATAATCACCATTAGAATGGGAGAGGGCAGTCACATTATACACATTTTGTTGGTGTTTCTTCTCTTGCGATGGTGGGATCCTCAGGCGTTGCTGCGTTGGTATTTGGATTCATTCACCCCTATTATTATTACTCCTTGCATCTCAAATTATAAAACACTTTTAAAAGAGTTTCTTTATTTTAAAATATAAGATACTTTAAGTAAATTAAAGTTTTATTAAATATATCAATTTTGATATTACCTTTTCTCTCTTAACGATTAATTTCCATCACTTCTCTTTTTAATATATTAAAAGATGAGTATTTTGAGAAATTTAAATTTTTATTTTGAAAAGATAAAGTTATTAAGTATATTTAATGAGATTTATTGATATGTGAGATTTTATTTAAAAATATCTTATAATTTAAAATAAAAAGAGTATTTTTTTTATTTCACTTCCACTTCCATCAACAAAAAGTATTCAATCAGCTTAAAAAATGCATCCCATCCTAAATAATAAATATAGAATATTGTCTTTTGGTTTTTATTGTTTTACCATGCAAGAGTCTTTGCAAAAAGTCAAAAGCATTAATTTTTTCTTTTATACAAATGTCGTTATATTATAAATAGAGATTACTATACAAGAAATAAAATTAAAGGTAATTAAGATATATCGATTTTAATGGGATAATGGTCCTAGAAAGTAGTGATAATTTTTTTCCTATTTTGATAATATAAACTATTTTTTTAATCCTGAATTAGTTTAAAGAGTATTATATGCTAGACCAAGGAAATGAGAATTATTAACACACAGGAATTTATTACAAGAAAAGGACGAACTCTTTCGTCATCCTTCATGCTTCAAGGATAGATCTGACTCATCCGAGTTCTGCAACAATTTAATTCGTATGTTTTTTAAGTTTCAAATAATGTTGACCTCCTCAATCCGCCCCAGCCCCACCCATTGGCTTGTGTAGAGACTATTACACTGACCTTTTTTTTTTTTTAATATATTGATCATTTTAATAAATAAAAAAGTAGGTAAACTAAATTTAAAAAATCTCAAAGTTGAATTTGAGTTTACTATCATTTAATATTTTATTATTACTTTTTATCTAGAAATTATAAGTTTTATTTTATATTTTAAGATTATTTTTTATTTTGTCTATCAGAAAATTTCAATGAAAATATAGCATTAAAAGGATCATCTGATCCCAAGTGTAGCACAGGAAATAGTGATCGGAAAATAAGGGAGAATTGCATAAGACCTACTAAAGGAATATATTCATAGTGCAAGGCCAATAAATTTTGAAATTTTTCTACATTTTCAAAGGCTTCAAGTGTAATTATTTTTGAAGATGAAAAAAAAAAAACCGAACTACTTTTAACAAATGAGAATATTTGTGCTACATATTAACCAAAGAAGATTAATAATAAAAGGTTATTAAACAATAAAAAAATTCAATTAATTTCAACAGGAAATTTGTTTGTTTACAAAAATCCATGCAAGTTTATACTTGTATTTTGAAAATTTACAGTCAAACGAATAAAATTAACAACAGCAGGCCTATAAATAACAAAAAAGTTCAATTATTTATACTAACAAATTCATTCATTCTCAATAGTCCATATGAATTTACGTTTGCACTTTACAAAATTTTCAAGTTAACAAATAAAATTAAAAAAATGTCTATAAATAACAAGAATAGTTTAATTATTTATAATAATTAAGTTCATTTATTTATAAAAGTTCATATGAGTTTACATTCGTATTTAAGAAGTTTATTTATTCACAAATATTCATGTGGCTTTACACTTATACTTAAAAAAAATTGCAAATTAATCGAGAAGAATTAACAACAAAAAAGAAAAAAATTAATCAATTATAACAAAATATCTGTTTGTTTACACGATTCATGTTAGTTTACTTGATCTTTTCATCTCCCAAAATAATTGTCCTTGAGATGAGAGCTTTGGACCTAGAAAGGAATTTCAAAATCCATTAGACATTGTGAATATATTTTCTGGTTGGGTCTCAGAGGTGACTCTATTTTAAAAACAAAAAAAAAAAAAAAAGAAAGAAAGTGGCGGGTTGGGGTAACGGGAAAGCGGAAGCGTGGCGATTTTAGCATCATCCAACGTATCGTTATGGGACACCTCACACTCACAATCATGGTTCCCTGCCACGCATTGAGATGGCCCTTCCTGTTCCTCCATAACTGCTCTGCTAGCCGCCATGGCTTCTACAACTTTCAATTCATACACTCTCTATTTCAATCTTCCAACACCGCCCGACTCTCTCCTTCATCGTTCCAGTAATATTTTGCACTGCGCCCATCGCCATGGACAGGCTCCCTACTCTTCTATATGCACCAGGGTTCGGTTTCAGCCAAGGACCAGAGCGCAAAGAGCTCCCGTTCTCACTCTTGTCTCTTCTTCCGCAAATAAACCGTCTTCTTCTCCCTCTGACGTTAGGTGCCCATTCTATCTCTCTCTCGTAGTCGTGTTTTTGCAAGCAATAACCTCTTTAGATTTTAGTGATAGATTTGATTTACTTGTGTTGTGGGCGTCGATTGGAACATTGGTTAGTTGAATTGGTGCTCTGTTTTGTGCCTTACGCTACTAATGTATAGCTCCTAGCTTGAATTTTCATCTAGCAATCAAATCTTGAATTTTCTGGTAGCGCATTGGTTGTAAGCTTCTTCATTTTGAAAATGGGGTCTTTTCGACTTGTGCTTAAATATATAGTGTTTTCATTACCATTAGCTAGCTCCATGAACATATTACATGCAATGCCTCCTCTAGAGAGCCAAATGTTAAATGGGACATCTCCGTGTGTACTGCCAAAACGACAGGCAAAATAAAATGATGCAGTGAATCCTTTAAAAATAAAAATAAAAATCCATAACTGCGTGAGTGTGTGCTGAGTTATTTGTTTTGTCTGCCTGCTTTTAGGTCACCTTGAGTTTCTTTTCTTATGGATTTTCATTTTTATGCGATGCTTCAATCATCAGGTTCTGTTTGCCAGTGATGCTTCACCATTAATCGTATTTGTTCTTCAGCTCTACAGCCAAGATAAGGAATGAAGTTCTGTCCCCCTTTCGGTCAGTTAGGATGTTCTTTTATATTGCTTTTGTTGCAAGCGGATCTCTAGGGGGATTGATAACACTCCCACAACTGATTGGTGCACTGGGTAATCCATCAAGAACACCTGAAGTTCCAGTGATTCTAAAAGACCTCGCCATTGACCTTGGAGCAGTATCTTTATTCGCTTTCTTGTACTACAGAGAGAACCAGGCAAAAAACGCACAGCTGTCTCGGCTCTCCAGAGAGGAAAGCCTATCAAATCTTAAGCTCCGAGTGGATGATAAGAAGATCATTCCTGTCAGCACATTGAGAGGGATTGCTCGTCTTGTAGTATGTGCAGGTCCAGCATCCTTCATAACAGAGTCCTTTAATCGTAGTGAGCCTTTCACAGAAAGCCTCTTAGAGAGAGGGGTGCTTGTTGTGCCTCTGGTGACAGATGAGAATTCACCTTCTTTGAAATTTGTGGAAAGTGAGGAGCAGAAGCAGGCCACGACCAAAAGGAAGAGACTCTGGCAGCTTGCTCCCGTTTACATCAATGAGTGGCTTGAGTATGTTAATCATGAAAATAAATAAATATGTGCTTCAACTTTTTTCTCCAATATTCTAACTTCTTTGCCACTTAATCTCAATAGGTGGTTGGACGAACAAAAGAAGTTGGCAGGTGTATCCTCTGAGTCTCCAGTGTAAGTATTATCCATGTCTTGGTATGTATAGATTTATAGACATCTTACTTTTCTGCTTAAACCCTGAAATAAAACTCGACAATCACTGTAAATTATAGTCTTGCCAGTAAGAATCCTGCTATATAAAGTCATATTGAACATTGCAGTTGATTAGAAGTTATGGTTAATTCTTACGTTTTACAGGTACCTATCCCTGCGGCTAGATGGTCGAGTACGAGGTAGTGGAGTTGGTTATCCTCCATGGAAAGCTTTGGTTGCACAATTACCACCAGCAAAGGGAATTTGGTCTGGCCTACTAGATGGTATGGATGGGAGAGTTCTTTAGAACCGGCTTTTACTGTTAAAGTTGATCTCGTAAAAAAAAAAAAAAAAATTCCCCTGTCACGCCGTCACGCCTGCCATCTGCTTTTTGAAGCGGAAAAATCAAATACTTGTTAAGAATTGAATCCAAGGTCATGTTTAAATGTATGTCAACGTCAGTAGAGATGATCATATTTAGTTATGTTGTACAACCTCGTGTCTTCTTGGAGAGGCATGCTATTGGAACTTCTTTGGGTTTACACGGATATGGACAATTTTCCCCCTTTATGATCTCTGCTTTTATCTTGTTTTATTTACCCAGTATATAAATTCAACTCAGAGACATTATATTAAAGATGACTCCACCTCTAATTTTTGTCATATCAATTGTTATGAGGCCATTTTTTGCTTGGCTAAGTCCCCCTTCTCTGGCCTCTGGATGGTGACATTTTAAGTGTTACTGATCACTGCTTCCAATAGAAAAGCGGGGTAATTTATGAGCAATTGCACAAGAGACGTAGCATACAGAGATGAAACGATGGACTTGAAAGAGAATATAATACAGATTCACCTTTGTGACATGACTTTAAAGTTACAGTTACAGCAGATGACTATTGACCCATTAGACTTCCTCAATCTCATCCAAGGCGTAGTTGTTTGTCGATACATTGGCATAGTTAACTTTGTTGAATCGGACTACGACTGGGTACCGAGTCTTGGGGTCCTGCACAACACACATGCCAGATGCAATTGAGTTTGGTATTGCGTTGAATCATATCCGTGTGTGTGTGTGTGTGGAGTTGCATTATTGTGCCAGAAAACTCACCTGATCAACAGCAACAACAGAACCAATGCCCTTGTACCAGTAGGATTCCTTCCTAAGAATCTTAACCTGTCAATCCAATTTTACAACCATCAAATTAAACGTATATCAGAAGATCCTGTTTGTTCACAACATTTTAAGTTCCATTTTATATTGCATAGTTAAGAAACAGAATATTGAAACTGACAAAGCAGCAACGGGAGTTTGGAACGTTTATTTATAATAGAAACTATTTTTTCTTGGAATGACAGTAAAAACTGAAGAGTAGATTTTTCTCAACTAGTTGCTCCCTACACTAATTTTAAGTTCTAAAACATAAATAGGATAAATTTTTCAAGTCTGTGTACTTACTGAATAGCATGCAGAAGTAACAAAACTTCCTCTCGTCGTGTGAATGTTTTTCTCTCTGTATGTCTCTCACACTTGTATTTCATGTGAGCATATTACAGCTACGAAAGGATAAATAGCCAATAAAGTAGTCTATCAAATTACAAAGGCTTGGCCCCGAAGCGTCAGATTCAAATCCCTCTAATTTAATATTCTAAAGTTGCAAAGTAAGTTATTTAAGCAGTATAATCATTAGTAACGATGTAACTCAGGACAGAGTCTCTAAATTAAAATGATCACACGGGACGACAGTGATTAGCTGTTATCAAAACTCAAATAGAAGGAACTGACCTTAGCACCTCTCTTGGGGCCAATAGGAGGTGGCTTGGGCTTGGGAGCTTCACCTTCGGCCGGGGGAGCATCGGGGGTGGGAGGTGGAGGCGGCGCCGCAGCCTCCTCCGCAGCCCTGACCACAAGCCTTGAGTTGTTCTTTGAAGAGAAGCCCAGCATGGAGGTCCTGGAGGCAGAAGCTGAGCTGCCTCCAGCTATAGGCGCCAACACAAATCCAGAAGCAGCCGATGCCATGCTGCAGGTGGCCATGAATGACTTCTCTCTTTCTCTGTGAATCTTAGACTGAAATTGAAATGTTTCCAAAGCGGGGCAAAAAAAAAAAAATTAATAGATGGAAAAGGACGGGAAGGAAGATTGAGAGGCTTTGAATGCGTTAAATTTGCTTGTTTATTTTAGACAATTATCTGATCCCCATAACCCCGTATCAATCGTTTCCTCCACTACCGTGCTGCCACCTTTGCACCATATCTCATTTCTCTGGATAATGTTGTTACAGCTCCTCCTTTGCCGCGCTCCATTTAGCGTATGTTCGTTTTTCTTTTCTTCTTTTTTTTTTTCTTTTTAAATATCTTCATAATTATTTTATTATTCATAAAAATGGATTGTCCAAGTATATTTTTTTTAAAAAAATTCTAAATAAATCTAAATCAAGAAACTTATTTGTAAATAAGTTTTATTTTGTGAATTTGTGAAAACACTCTTATGTCTTTTAAGATTTATTGTGACTCTTTTAGTACTTCCTCGTTAAAAAATTAACATATATTTTGAAAATTTGAATGTTAAAAATATAAAATATTTTTAATCTTTCGAGATATAACCATTGATTTTTTAAAAAAAGTATCCTATCAATGAATAACTTTATATTTATTGTAGGGTGTTTAATAGAGGTAAATATAAAAAGATAAAATTAGTTTGAAAATAAATAACTACTCTATTAAAAGTGAGATTCGATTAAAAATGCTTTATATTTTTTAACGGAGAGAGTACATATATTTTTAAACTCATTTTTTTTTCAATTAACGTTGATTAATCTAGCATTGGTGGTTGATCAAACCACCAACATTGTTTAGAAACTATCAATCAAGGAATAATTTATAGTTTACAAATAATTTTAAACTCACTCATATTAGTTCTGTTGATCAAATATCATTTCTTATAAAATCTAATCACATCTATTTTAATAAATTTATGGTGCTTATTTGTAAACAAGTCATGAAAATATTTAAGACTTATGTTTTCCTGTATTTTTAATTTAAATTTAACTATAATATAATTTTTCTATCTATCTTTTGCCACTATGGGTGGGAAATATTAAATAATAAAAGGATAATGTAACTTTTAGAAAAAATGTCAATAAAATCCCTCTGATATATGCAAATGATAATTTAATCTCTCAAAATGTAATAATTTTATTAGATTTTTTATGAACTTTTTTGTTATCAATGAATTTATATAAATCACCAAATTATCCTTGTTGAAAATAAATAATTCACAAGTTTTATTTAAATATTCATAATTTTTTTCTTATATTCACAACAATATGACAGTAAATATGGAATTTAATATGTGAAGTTGTGATTTGCTGTTGCATTGTTGTCAATATAAGAAAAAAAATTGTGAATATTTAAATAAAACTTGTGAATCATTTATATTCAATAAGGGTAATTTAATAATTTATATAAATTCATTAATGATAGAAAAATCCCTAGAGACTTTAAGAGAATTACAGCATTTTGAAAAACTAAATTGTTATTTACATATTTTAAAGAAATTTTATTGTTATTTTTCATAACTTTTAATTCTTTAAGTTTGTCACAATTATTGATTTAATTTTTTTAATTTAATCTCTTATGTTTTCTTAAATAATCATGAGTCTTTTAAGTTTTAAAACAAAAATTGATTCTTCATGACTTAATATGTATATGTAGTAAAATGAGAATAAATTAACTCTTAAATTAGTTCAATTTTTGTCAACATAATTCACTACATTATGTTTTGTTCTCTTATTTTTTAAAATTTGTATAGTCTATTGTTTTCTGTGTAAATGATTATACTTATTTTCATTAATCTACATGATTTCCATCCATATTTTATTATTTATGTCAACAAATTTTAATAATATAACCTCATTTTTAAATGTTAAGGACTCAATTGATAATTAAAATAAATTTAATGAACTAGATGATAAAAATTACATTTAAAATATCAAATTAATATATAAGGTAAATTTGAAGGATTAAAAGTTGCATTATCCTTTTAATAAATATAGGCTAGATTTTACGGTGACAGTAATCTTCTATATATGTACAATAGCATAAACATTTTGTAAAACGAATCTGCTTAAGAGTAAGAATACTTGGCTTACTAAAAATTATGGTGATATATTGCACCATAAGTGACTATATATGGAATCAATTGCTAGTTAATTATTTTTTTTTACAAACTAAATTATCCTATAATTTATAATTTATGATGAGCTTGTAAATATAAATAAAATCTATTTTAGCAGAAGACTGCCCAAATCATACCAAAATCATGTCCTACGTCAGCAACCTCCCTCGCTTCGGCGCCAAATCTTCTGATTCTCCCTGCCGCCTCGCCTTGGTTCATAACCATAACAGCCAGGAAAGTTGCGAGTTTGCTCCACTTCCAGGATCAAGGCAAGCAAGCGGTTCCACGAATGAGATGAACAAAAGGAATTTCCCGATCGTCCCTGGCGATCGATTCCTCGATAGGAACTCTAGAGGAAAACCATTACACAGAGCTCGGAACTCCAAGACTCATGGCAGTGCGCCAAATCTCTTAGGAGAAAAGGCTTCTCTGTTTCTTTTCCTTTATTTTTCAACTCACATATCGCAATTTCTCCCGGTCATTCACTTCTTCTCGAGGAATTTCATTTCCATTCGAGTTTTTGCTTTGGTGTTTAGGGTTTGTGGATTTGCATGAAAGAAACTACTTTTTCACCTTGATCCCGTTCTTTCCATGCATGAGTGCTATTTCATATTTCCTCGCTGCTTCACTGTTGTCAAGCTAATGCCTTCGCCTTGGTAAAGGAGACTGAAGTTAATGATACTCGAGTTCCTAAGTGATCCGAGGAAGATTTGTTGGTGTTTTTATTTTTTTGGCCGAAATTCTGTGGAATACTGATTTTAAATGCCATAACCTTACACATGATTAAAGCTTCTCTTAAAGAAGTGTTCATCTGATTGATCGTTATTTTATTAATTCAGTTTACAATGCCCATGCACAACTCAACTTCCTATTCCCACTATCTGGTAGTTTTGTCATAATGCAGCGTGAAGCGTCTTCATGCATATTCTTTGGCTTGAGTATCTTTATGCTTGGCTTAATTATTTTTTCGAAGTATTTTATCAATTAACTTTTTTTTTTTTTGGCAGGAAACTTCTTTATTTACCTAAAAGTTAAAAAAAATTTCCTTTTCCTTCTAGGTTTTGGTTTCCAGAAAAAAGTGAAGACAGGCAAGGATGCAGATATCTCTACAACTTGCAGATTAGAAGCTTCTCCCATACCTTTAGGAGGAAAAGAGGATACATGTAAGTTTTTCTTTCTCATCCTTAGCTTTTGTCAGTAGTTGCCTGTGGTATTGGTTATTCATAGAATTAATATTTCACTTTTACATATTTTTTTAGTTATTAGAATTAAATTGCCTGGAATTTATTTTTAATCAATTGGCCTCTGATGCAAAATTTAGGGGCAAATCAGCCAAAAACCTCTGAGTATGTATTTTTCAAGAAGTTAAAGGAGGATGCAAGCCAGATATGTCATTTGAATTCCCAGCAAAAGGATGCATGCCTATCAAAGAAGCCTGAACCAAATGACTGTTTTAGAGGTTGGCTTAATGAAATGTGTATGTGTTATAATAGATTCCATTGAAGAATTGAAATTATTGGTCTCATGTCATGATCTCATGAGTTCTTCTTATTCTTTATTTTCCTGTCTGTTTGACACTTTGGGTTACTTTTATTGGAATTGAATTATTGACTTCACTTGCCTGGAGACTAATATAACCAGACTCCTGTCCCCTCTATAATCAGTAACTTTAATGGCATTTTACATTTCATCATCTTGTTCGCAGCTGATTAATAATGGCCTGAATTTTCCATCCCTGTAGAGAGGACCAGCAATGTGAGGGTTAGTAATAAGTGCTTCAACCATTCAACCCTCATTGAGAACATGCCAACAGTTAACTCTGACATATTTCTCACTCCATCTGGTGGAGCCTTGAAGAAGACAGGTGTGCATTGCAAGGAAGAATTCCACAGTACTCTATCCACAGTGGTGTAACTTCTTCCTTAGATCTACACACAACCAAAATAATAGGAAAGTAGATATTTGTCCTGTAACTGACGCATGGCCCCATGAAGTTTTAAAACTTGAAAGTCTATGTAAGCTCATGTTGTAAGTATAAAAACTATAGTTTTCTGATTTCTGGAATGTACTGTCTGATCAAATAACAGCATAACATATAAATGATATGATGAAGTTTTATTTAGCTCCAAATATTCTTCTGTAGTCTTAGATGCCTCTCAATAAGCAATGTGTCACTCACTCTACATATGCCCTTGCATGACCTTCTTCAATGGTGGATATAAAGCTAGGCTTAGTTTATGTTTGATGTCTCACCTTTTACCCTATTAAGATATTTTTGACTTGTGACAATTGGCTGCTTCAAACGCCTAATATTCATGGTCGACTTTAAAATTTGATTGACAAGGATGTATAGCAATCCTTAGAGAAGGAAACAATATTCATTTTGATAGCATACGGTATGCTTAGCTTGTATGATCTAAATATATCATAGCATATTCTGGTTTCTGGTTGTCATAACCGTATTTGATAACATTCCCAAAACGTTATTTGAGGGTTTTAAACAACTCAGGCAAAAAGTTCTTTTCGTCATCTGCATCATAAATTTAGCATGCAGCTTCTGCCTTAATGAAAATGTTGATACCATTTCAAGGTTCATGTCTGTTTATTTGTATCTAAAATAAAGAAATGCTTTGCTTCACAAAGAATCCTTTTTTGTAAACTAGAAATTTACTCCCTCAGGATCACAATATAAATCACTTTCTAGAAGCACCCTTAGTCCAAAATATAGGGCATTGGGTAAATTTTATGTTTTTCTTCCATTTATACCCTTGCTTTTTTTATTTCTCTGTAAATGAAAAGATGTGGATATTTTTTTTTTTTTAAGTTTCAACTAACATTTTTTGTAAACCAAGAATTAGTTAACAATGACAAATATTATGGTCCGGAAGGAGTAAGAGTTAAGATAGTTGTGCAGATTTTTTGTCACCTGAAATAGAGTTGAGTAGATTACAGCTTAGAAATGTCATTTTCAAATTGCAATATGATATTATAGATGTTATCATGTAACATTGTTCATTAACACGTTTATCTCATTTATTTGAAGTTTATGGAGCTATAAACTTTAAAATGCTGGAATGTTAGAATGTGTTTTTCTTCGAGCTACTTCAGCTTGTATTTTTTTTTTTTTCTAAATAACTAGAAAGTACCCAGATTGCTCTTTCTTGTTGATACTTGCAGACAAGTATACTGTTGGTAGCACCAGCACACAGGAGCACGTTCAAGATCAAGGATATGGTGACACCCTTCAACCCAAGGACAAGTCTTTACATGAAGGTTTGATGTTCTTCATGGTGATTTCTCTGGTGGTTTATCAGTAGGTTAAAAGGGGTGAATGATGCATTCAAGTAGAACAGTTTGATTATATATGATGTGTTCGCAAGCTTTGAAGTTTTCTTCTTTCCTCCCTCCAGGCCATACAATGGACTTTAAAGGGCTAAGTTGTGCTGGGTCAATTACTGATTTCTTGATATCCCTTGAAATGTTGTACTCAATATAGCCGGCAAACTGTTCTCTGTGTAGCCAAATATATGCAATAATTTATCATTTTGTAAAATTTGTTAACTTTCTTGGATAATACAGTTTTCTTTGTGGCAAATTTTCAGAAATCCAATCTATGCAGGGGAAAGCCTTTTGCAGAAAGAGACAGAAGCTGCGTCAGTGGGTTGTAGATACTTCATTTCCTGATATGGATAAACTCTGTTCCAAAGGGTCAGACACAAGTTCTATAGTTTATCTCTTTCATTTTGTTTACACTGCTGATAAAAAATATGCACGTCTTCAGGCATGATATTGTCTCCATGCTCCTTACTCGGCTAATCTCTGACAGCAATGGGGAAAATGTACGTTATTGTACCTTAAGTAATGCTACAATTCTTCTAAATGAATCAGGTCCCTTCATAAACTAACTTTTTATGCCAGAAAGATAATAATCCAAAGTTGGGGACAGCAGTAACCGCCACCCCCCATGATTTCCTTCTATCTCAAGAGTAGATATTCAATATACGGAACACTACATGCCTGGGAAGAAACTTCTCGAACTGGATTCAAGATCATACTCCAGTGATCATTTGTCATCTCCTATGTTCCAAGGGTCAGATGATAGAATAATTTCTTGTGCTGATTTTTCAACCAATCATTCTGACAAGTTCTACCCATCCTACACAATAACAGAACCTCAGTACAACTTCGGTGGAACTGCAAGTTTTAGTGCCAACTGGTTAACAGACCCTGAGTGCAACTTCAGTGAAACTGCACATATCAGTGTCAATAGGGTTATGACTCATGGCTGTCTACTTAATAAACAGGAGCAAAAAACCTTTGCATGGAATCATTCCAACGAGCAAGGGAAACTGAGGGGAGAACCTTATCCTCTTCCACTGGAAAATATTACGGACACAGATGAGGAAAATATCCATGTGTCTCAAGACTGGGATATTCAATATAAGGAACGTCATGTGCCTAGGGAGAAACTTCTTGAACTGGATTCAAGCTTGTACTCCAGTGATCATTTGGCATCTCCTTTGTTTGACAGATCAGATGATAGAATAATTCAGTGTGCTAACTTTTCAACCTATTGTTCTCACAAGTTTCACCCTTCATGCAGTACAGCAGAACCTGAGCGCAACTTTGATAGAACTCTGAGTTTCAGTCCCCACTGTATCACAGGTCCTGTGTGCAACTTTGGTGGGAACACACCTTTCAGGGCCAATAGTGATATGACTAATGGCTTTCTGTTTAATGAACTAGAGCCTGAAACCCTTGCATGGACTCGTCTAAATGAGTCATGGAAACTTGGGAGAGGACCATATCCTCTTCTACTGGAAAATGGGTTCCATAGTCCAGCACATGAGATACACGTACCCATCAATCACAACAATGCTACATTAAATGGCCTTCCTACATCATTTCCTTCAACAGGCAATTGGAAAGAGCTGATGTTAAATAATATGTTTGGTGAACACAGGTTTTGCCCTTCATTCATACTTCCAAACCAGCCACTGGACTTGAATTCAATGCTGGATTCCGGTTTATTGAGATATCAAGAATGCAGGTTTGGAAAATCTGTCTTTGACACAGTTTTCAGCCATAATTCCTTATCCTTGTCACACAATGAGGACCGTCTCAAACTGTTAGAAGAATGCCATAATGATAATTCATGGGTTCCAGTTCCAGACAGCTTCTACCATTCACCTAATCGGTATATGTTTAGGGAGACAGTTTACCATGACTGTCATCGCCAAGCTGATGCTAATACAGAAGCCTGGCTTTCATCTTCACTCAATTTTATATCAGGAAGGGGGTGCCTTTCCTTGTCTGATTCCCATCTGGAGCACCAAATTCCTTATTATGGTCCATTGCAATTGGCCCCAAGGGAAAGGGTGTCTGATCAATTTCATATTGAAGATAATTGCGAGCAAGATCCGGATGGTGTGATAGAAGGAGAAATGTTTTGTCAATTTAAGGAAGATGCATTAAAAGATTAACTCTTCCTTCCCTCTCATATTCATGCAAAGAAACAGAGGAAAGCCCATTTCTGCTGCTTAACAGTGACAATATCAGTGAGAAAAGATCAAACACTCAAGGTGATCCTGTAGACTCATTCGTGGTTATATGATCGAAGTTAACCCATGCTTTTTTTTTTTTTTACCCCTTTCAAGATTACCAGTCAACTGTTGGCCCTTTTGTAGAAATTGTAAGGGTTTCTATTACGAGATTCTCCATATTGACGCCTTTAGAAGCCTGCATTTGAATCTCGTGTAGGAGCATGTAGGTGTCTTGTGACTTTTCGGCCAAACCGAGATTGCATGCTTTTAATTTACCGACAGTGATGTTTTTCTTGGAGTACCGACGGGACATTTGATTCTTTCAAAATTTCTGTGTTTCAATTTCAAACGTAAAAAAACATAGACTGGTCTTTAGTGTTAACTTTTGGTATGGAATTTTACCATTTATAGGTTGGTTGCCAACTACAGCATTGTGATCATATTTCTTACTCCTATATGACAAACCTCAGATCGATCCATTCACACGTAATCGTAACTTGGGGTTATGATACTTTTACCAACTCCCCAACCCAACGATTCCTTGTTTCAACTATTTATTGAATTCAGTATATCGTGCATGCATTTAGAAAGCATTATAACACGACCGTGAAAAGTCACGCGAGATACCCAATTTTCATCATTATTTTCATGACCGAGCCTTAGAATTTGAAATACACCGAGTTTCAAAAATAATGCTATTCACAAAAGCATATGATGAAAAACATGACCCATGATAAGAAATTAAAGCAAAGAAACGAAAGTAGCATTAATCATGCTACGCTCTTCACTTGTTCTACTTTCGCATTGTTACATGATCTAGTTCAATTCAAATTCAAATAATCGATCATTCTTAATCACAATCCACACCCAAAAAAGTATTTGTTATCGTGTTGTAGTAAAACCCAAAAAAGTTATTAGTCCGTTGGTGCATATAATTAACCTCGTTTGTCAGTATTACCACTTTTTTTTTAACTATTAGACAATTTTATTACCACTAATGATGTGATTTTCTGCCCCATTATCACAAGAGCCATCATCAAACCTATTACCCCTTTGCATGTTACCATGATAATGTTCGTGCAGTCACTAGAACGTGAAAACACGAACTTTTGTTGCATGATGACAAAGTAGTGTTCAGTATTTATTCTTTTCACTGGCATGGTCTTAGTTAATTACTTTAACAGTCCGGTTAAAAATAACTTCAACAGTGAGGTTCGGAACATGCAACACAAAACACTCATTTGAAGTTGTTTTGAATAATGTTTGCAAGAAATTGTTTTGTAGCAGTAAATGAGTAAATCACTTTTCTCTTTGGGTATCATAGTATATATCTCTTTTAACTCTTATTTTTCTTCACCTTGAAAATCAAAACTTTCAATGATACTGTTCTTCTCCCTATATTTTAACTCTTCAGGTTAATTAATTGTTCATCAAATCATCAGTATAGAGACGTTTTTATAGAGAAACGAAAAAGGATCAGCTCGCGTAAATTTAAAAGAAAATGGTCAAAATTCCTGGAGATTTGACAAAAGATCTTCTTTTACTCGTATGGATAAAGGAGATCAGAAGCAAAGCTATAGGACCAAAATATTGGATCTTTACGTCATGCAAACCACAAAACTCCATGCTTTATTTTTCCTTTTATTTCCCCTTTTTTGTTTTGGGTACAGAAACGCCATGCTTTAGATTCGATAAATAATAGTTTTATCCGATCTTGGAGTTCTTTTCTTTGAAGTATGACTTCCGTTTCCGTTTTAAATTATAGAATATTTTTTAAGTAATTTTTTCATTTTAAAATATGAGACACTTTAAATAAATTAAAATTTTATTGAATACAATAATTTTAATATTATCATTTATCTCTCTGATTAATTTTCATCTCTTCTTTTTTTAATATATTAAATGATGATTATTTTTAAAAATTTATATTTTTATTTTATAAAGATAAAATTATTAAGTATATTTAATAAAATTTATTAATATAAAAAATTTTATTTAAAAATATTTTATAATTTAAAACGAAAAAATTACTATAATAAAAGTGAAACAATAAGGCATGTATGCCAAAGTAAGGCGATCAACTTTTGAGATGTACGCCATACAAATAATTTTTTTTTAATAAAAAAAGGACACACCGAACTTCAATCTGTTCCCTCTAAAACTTGCTTCAACAACACCATATATACCTTAAAATAACATTAACTGCTTCAAATAAAAAATTATTTAATTGCCAAAATAAAAATCCAACTTATAACTCTTTTTAGCCAAACCCTCACCTTGGCTAGTCCGATAACTAACCGATCTAGTTTGTTTTAGCGTATATATAAAAACGAATTCTTTAATATAGTATGAAAGTGACGATATAATTAAAATAAGTGGGTCGTTCTCAATTTAATTAGTGGTTCATTGTTAGTAATGGGTGATCTTGAAGGAATTTTGCCTGAATTGCACAGCACGTATGTGTTTTCACGGATGTGTCATGGAAGGCTGAACAAGTGAAAAACATTTAAGTCTTCCATTTATGTGATATACTGGTTTTTTTAGTAATGACTTGAATACGAAATCATTTCTAAAAAGTCACATTAATTCCCACAAACAAAACAATCACACATATTCGTCGGATACATTATATATGATGAAATGTTACTAGGGAGATAGAGTAATTAATATGAAGGGAATAGGGTCATTTTCAGGTGCATGTGCAACTTAGACGTCACTCATTGATGGTCATAATAAGGGAAAATGATATGTGGCCCATTCAAGATTTCCTTGCTCTCCCTAATGCCCACCTCCATCCAATAATTTCTTTTCTTCCACTCCATTATTTTGTGGTCAATGTTTTCTATTTTTATGGAAATTAAATACTTTTCCTCTAATTATTTTGATACTCCACTTTGTAGGAACTTACAGGATATACTAAAGAAGTTAAGTAAAAAAAAAGTGACATATGTCATATGGGATGTCAAACTAATAAAAGTTACGCTCCGTGCAAGTAAGGATATAATTAAGGATTTTTGGATGCTAGAGGGGGAAAAAATCCCAAGTTAAGGATTTTATATGCGCTCAATCTTGTTCTTAACAAAAATTATTTCTTTTTATACTAGCATAAATGATTTTTTTATTTTTATTTTTTCAATGCGTTGTATGTACAAAAAGAAAACTCTCCTTTTAAATTTTAATGTTAACTGTTTGGCAACCCTTCACTTTTGAAAATGCTGAGTAACTTGATAAGTCAAGAGGTTAATGTGAGACTCATCCCCTTGTGAGTGCTTCTAATGTTAATTAAAATTTTCATATTTTTTGTTTAATTATACACCTTTAAATCACCTTATCTAATGATTCACCAACCCCATATATAACAAGGCGCCATGATGCAGAGAAGTAGATTTTTAGGCAGAAAAAGAAAATACATTTGGATGCATGGCTTTATCATTTTGTGTGTGTGTATAAACAACCTCTTAATCTGATGTATAAAATTGTTTATAGTTTAGTGATTTTTGCTGTGATATTTAAGAAAAGATGTTATGGAAAAGGTCATGTTAGTTGGTGATGGCAAGTAGTTGATGGACCCCATTCTCTTACTCTTACTCTCTTGTTCACGTTTCATGTTCCTAATCAAACCACCACATTGTGTATTGCTCTCCATTCCTTCCAAGTTCTAAATCAAACTATTAATTAACAACCTTAATCACTCGCTTATTCATCACTTTTAATCCCTGCTCTTCCTCTCCCCCACCACTTGAGAGAAGATAGGATCAAAGAAAATTGGTACTTTTGCTTACCACTAGACATTTTCTTTCATGCAGCACAGATAATCTAAGAGGTGTTTTATAGTTTTATAGTTTATAGTACATGTTAATTAGTTATAAGTTTTTATATCTTCATGTATAATTTTATGTTTTATGCTGATGCGGATGGTTTTGTTAAAATGAAGAGACAAACCTTTAATATTTAATTACAAAGGGAGGAAAACATCATTCTCTCTCTCTCTCTCTTTACCAACAGAAAAAAAAAAAACATCATTCTCAAACTAGTGATTCACGCAGCATTGTTGGCCAAACGAAATCACAATCCACTACAAAAAGTAATAAATAATTTCCAAATAGAATACAGAAAGAAAAAGAGCTGCATGAAAAGTCACGAATTTTAAGACTGGAAGAAAAATGAGGGCGAGCCATACCAATGAATGTAAATGTTGTCCCCCCCCCCCCCCCCCCTTTTCTCTCACTCTCAAGCCAAAGCCCAAACTGATAAATCAACGGTGACTCCGTGAGTGATGTTGGACGAACGTGTTTCAAGTCCACGCACAACACAACTAGTCGGTGAAGCACGATACATGCTTGCATTTGCATTTCTTGTTAGCGTCTCGATCCCGCCGTTTCTCCGGCCAACTACCGGCCACATTGTCAGCGGAACCTCACTTCACCCTTTTTAGTTACACCTTACTCTCGTCTAGCCATATTTTCTTTCTGAATTCCTCCAATTTTTAGCTTTTTCTCGTCGCTTCCCTTTCGATATCCCTGTTCTTGAATCTCCCGCTTCTTCCGCCCTGTCCAATCTCGGTCTATCAGCTATCGATTTGTGGCCTAATAAGCTGTTTTCTTCATTATCTCCATCCCGCTTTCCGTATCCGTTTACTTTCGACAGTCATGATTTGTATTTTGCTGTTTGGGATCCTCAAAAGAATTTTATTTGGGGGCGCTTTCTTAAAGATTGGCGATTCGCTTCACTTTTGATTTTTTTTTTATTCTTGTTGCGAGCTCTGATTTTGCTTCAATTGGTGGAATTCTGTGCAATAGTAACTTCACAACTCTGGTGCAATTGCTGGGAACACTGGCGTCTTGAGGTTTTCATCATTCCGCTCCCCGCCACACCCCCCCCTCCAAAAAAAAAAAACAAGAAGAAGAGAAGAATAGAAAAACGCTGAGCCGATGTATTTTCCTGCAACTACTACCTTCCACACGGGCGGATGAATAGATTTGGTTATTCATGCTCTGTGACTGCCATTTTTCGACAATTTCGAGCTCCAGGATTTTCTTGCCTGTGTTCTCTTCTTACTTTTTCTGCCCGTTTGTTGGTGTCCCTCGATAGCCTGGGCTCTGATACTGAGGTTTGAGATTGAAATGTCTGTTCAAGGCATATTAATAAATTCCGATACAACTCGGTCCGGTTGCTTTCTGGGTAAGTGAACTGGTTTTCAACTTTGGGTTTAGTGATTTGTTGTTTCCGCGTCTTTGTTTTCGATCTTTCTTTTTCAGTCATATTTTTTATTGGGTTCTTTGTTTAATTTGTCGGCGGCGTTTGTGATTTTCTCCCATTTTTCCCGATAATTTTGTCCATTTTTAGTTCTTCAAATTTAAGATGGCCTAACAGATGTTATGCACTTA